GTTTGGCCCTGAAGGGGGTGGATTGTGAGATCCCACATCGGTTGGAGAGGAGAACGAAGCATTCTTATAAGGGTGTGGAAATCTCCCCTAGCAGACGCATTTTAAAAACCTTGAGAGGAAGCCTGAAAGGAAAAACTGAAGAGGACAATTATCTGCTAGCGGTGGCACCGCTATTGGATGTTACAAGAGGTAAGATTTTTTTTGGTATGCACTTCCTTTAATTTCCTTTGCCTTCCGAGATCATACATTGATGAGAGCCAATGAACAACCAAAGAAATAACACAGCAAAGACACAACGAAGCCAGCTAATTCAGACATCAGTGGACAAGGCAGAATTCCAAGTTATGAAAAAGAAACTGAATAATAAAGCACATGAAGTGAATTAAGATTACATCTGATCGAGCTGTTTGTTAACCTCCTCAACCTCCTCCAGATCTGTAAGCAATTGACGGACAGTTGCTCCATAAGTCAAGGTAAACAGCTCCGCATTCTGCATCAATTCAACTTTAGCTTCTTATCAATGGAAGATGACTCAAAAACAGAAACGAAATCAAAGACCTAAAAATGTGTTTTCTCATCATGTACAGACTTACCACTTCGGATCATCTGATCAAATTTCTCACCACTTCCCTCGCATTTGTTTAAAACTCCTCAGAACCCAAACAACAGGAACAATTAAGAGAGAAAGAGAATGGAAGTTGAGAAGCTTACCACTCGCTCAACGCTAGCGAAGATTGCATCACCAGATCGAGGACCAGCGGTAGGCATGATTGATATGAATTCAAAGGAACGTTTAGGTAGACGCTTTGCTGGTTGCCGCTACATAAGTGAAGAAACTTAGAGTTAGTCTTGTAGATTATGGGCTGAATGACCTAAATCGCCTTCATAGCTCGAGATCAAAGCTTTGGGCCTTCCGAAGTGTTTATAGATCGATATCAAAATTGGGATTTCATTACATCTTTACAGCAAATTGATTCGATCCTGATGAAGGAATATATTAAAACGTATTTGAGTTCAGTCCGGACACTTACAGTTCCGGCGATCGAAGACGGAAGTTGATACCGGGAGCGAAGAGTGTGGCCGACGCCGACGGTAATGGCGGTTCCAATATGCGAAGTGGATGAAAACTGTGTGATCGATCCAAAAGGATTTGGAGCAAAGAATAGTTTCGACTGCTTCCCTCTTGAAACAAGTGATACTAGCTCAAGCTCACTGCTACATGTATTATGTATTAGCTGTCGACATCATAATGTGTCTATTACTATTATAAATAATACTCGTTTCTTCTCTCTAACTAATGTAGGATCTCACAATCTACCCATTCAGGTCTCAACGTCCTTGCTAGTACACCGCCTTATGTCCACCCCTTCGGAGCTCAGCTTTCTTGCTGGCACATCGCTTAGTGTTTGGCTCTAATATCATTTGTAACAATTCAAATCTATCGTCGGCAGATATTGTCTTCTTTAGACTTTTCGGAATCCCGAGAACTAAACCTTTACAAAATCTTTAATAAATATTTTATTAAATTATAAATTTAAATTTAATTTTTATAATATGAATTTTTTAAAATAAATTAGAGTAATATAAATAAACTGAGACAAGGCAATCATAAAAACAGATAACTAATAAATATTTAAAATAATTAAAAGTTATTATGGATACAAAAAAAATATATATATATATATATATATATATTTTGTAGTTGAATTATAAAAATTTTACGAGTAAAATAAATTATTAATAATTACAATATTATTTAAAAGCATTGCCACCATTAAAACTATTATATAAATTATTTATATAATCATTTTTTCACATTAATTTTTATATCCATTTATATAAATAATGTTGATTTTATTCATTTTTTTCAAATGAATTTTAATTTTTATTCTTATAATTAAAAAAAAAAAAAAAAAATATATATATATATATATATATAAAGGTTTCCGGAATCTCCATTAAACCAGGGGAAGTTATCCAAATGGTGGCTTGCAAGCCATGAACCGCCATTAAATTCGTTTATCCCTCCAAATCCCATCCCTAAAAATTGGCAATTGAACCCTATAAATTCACCTCTTTGTCGTCCCTAATCCTTCGTCTTCCAGTTTTTCTTTCAAACCTCTTTTTTCCCATCTCGTTGCGCGCTTTCTTCATCTCAAGGTATGATTCCGCTCTTTTCGTTTTTTCAAGGATGATCGGAGTTGGTGTTTGTTCATTTCTTTGATGTTCCGTCTTTATTGTGTCGATCTGGGAGTTGTTGCTTTTCTGTTGCTCTTGAATTCGTTTTTAGGAGTGTTTTTGTGGATTGATTTTGGATTTCTTGGAGTTTCTCCGTTTTCGTAACATCTGATTATCTATCTTTCTCCAAGAAGCGATTGAATTCGTATTCGTTTTCGATACACGGCTTACGTTGCCGTGTTTTCTTAATTCTATTGTTTTCATGTTCGTTGTAAGATCTTGCAGAGAATTCTCTCGATCTACAGTTTCCTTTTCGCAAATAGGAACTTGATTTTTGATCTCGGCTTTTATATATTCGGATCGATTAGAGGTTCTAAACCAATAGGAAGGATCCAAGAAGTGATCAAAAGAAGGCACGATTGGTTAAAAAAATTGAATTGAGGAGCTAGGATTTTGAAATTTCTTTCTAATTTGAACATTTCTGGCTTGGTCCTGTACTCAAGTTCTTCTAATTCATCGTTTTCAGTGGTCTTTTCGCTTATGGATTTGGTTCTTGAGCTATTTATGATCTGATTGGTTAAAAAATTGAATTATTTTGAAATTCTTTCTAATTTGAAGATTTCTGGCTTGGTCCTGTTCTCGATTATGATGGATTTGGTTCTTGAGCTGTTTATGATCATGTCACCTGATTCAATCCATATATTTTACAATGATTTTCAATAGAACTTTGATTGCTGTGTTAACAGATGCAAATCTTTGTAAAAACTCTAACCGGCAAAACAATCACCCTCGAGGTGGAAAGCTCAGATACAATTGACAATGTAAAGGCTAAGATTCAAGATAAAGAGGGAATTCCACCCGACCAACAAAGGCTTATCTTTGCTGGTAAGCAACTTGAGGATGGCCGAACGCTGGCCGATTACAATATCCAAAAGGAATCTACACTCCATTTGGTGCTTCGACTTCGCGGTGGGATGCAAATATTTGTGAAGACCCTTACTGGCAAAACCATCACCCTTGAGGTGGAAAGTTCTGACACAATTGACAATGTTAAGGCTAAAATCCAAGATAAGGAGGGTATCCCCCCTGATCAACAGAGACTAATTTTTGCTGGTAAGCAGCTCGAAGATGGTCGAACTCTTGCCGATTACAATATTCAGAAGGAATCTACTCTGCATTTGGTTCTTCGACTTCGTGGGGGTATGCAGATTTTTGTGAAAACTTTGACTGGAAAAACGATTACATTGGAGGTAGAAAGTTCAGATACCATTGACAATGTGAAAGCTAAAATCCAAGATAAGGAGGGCATTCCACCAGACCAACAGAGACTAATTTTTGCTGGTAAGCAGCTCGAAGATGGTCGAACTCTTGCCGATTACAACATTCAAAAGGAGTCAACGTTGCATTTGGTGCTCCGATTGCGTGGTGGAATGCAGATTTTTGTGAAGACGTTAACGGGGAAGACGATCACATTGGAGGTCGAAAGCTCGGATACGATCGACAACGTGAAGGCGAAGATTCAAGACAAGGAGGGCATTCCACCAGACCAACAGAGGTTGATCTTTGCTGGTAAGCAACTGGAAGACGGCAGAACTCTAGCAGATTACAACATCCAAAAGGAGTCGACGTTGCACTTAGTGCTACGACTGCGCGGTGGAATGCAGATCTTCGTGAAGACGTTAACAGGGAAGACGATCACATTGGAGGTTGAGAGCTCGGACACGATCGACAACGTGAAGGCAAAGATTCAAGACAAAGAGGGGATTCCTCCAGACCAACAAAGGTTGATCTTCGCCGGAAAACAATTGGAGGATGGTAGAACATTGGCTGATTACAATATTCAGAAAGAGTCCACCCTCCACCTTGTTCTCCGCCTGCGCGGTGGCTCTTAGGGTGGCTCCGCCGTGTTTGTGCTGGACTTGTGGTGTCTCTCATGGCCCCTTCTGAATGGTTTTAGTAGTAATAAGTCAGAACTGACTTTTTGTCTTTTATTTCTTTTATTTCAGCGTCTGTTATATATAAATAATAATATGCTGTTTGTTGCAATGGCCTAACGGGCCATGTTAAAAACGGCTTCTAAAATGAATGTATTATTATGAATTTTTAAATTAATATTTTGGTTAAATATCTTTTCTTTTGTAAATATTCTTTAAATAATTTCAATGTATATTTTTCTCTTTTTAAATAAATATTATATTTTTTTATTATTTTTAAATTTTTTTAACAGTTAAGTAGTTCATAAAAAAATTATTTTGAGTTAAAAACAACCGATTTAAAAATAATATGTTGGCAATTAAAATACAAATTATTGCGTCATTTTTTCCTTTTCTTTTATTTAAATAATTATATAAAATGTAAAATAAAATGAATACTACTTATTTAAAATAACACAATAAAAAACCACTCATAATAAATAAATTCCTTCTAACCAATAAAATAATAAGAAATAATGTTTCCAAATATGAAAAGATCTATTTTTTAATTAATATATTATTGACATTAAAAAATGTGTAAATAATAGAATTAAAATGCACCTAGATATTAAATTAATTAATAGAATGCAAAAAAATTAATTTTATTTTAAAGTTTTAAGGTATTTAATATATTAATTTAGCCATGGAATCTGTTATATATTTTTTATGAATTAAAATTTTGATTTAATTAAATGTAAATTAATTTAATTAAGGAACATGGCAGATCTGAAAATACAGCTACAATACAGGGCATTTCCAAAATGTTATGGGCACATAAAACCGAACCGGAGAAGCCGGTTCGAACCGCTTTAAGTAGTCAAGTCAGAGAGGTTTAAACGGCGTCGTATATTGGCCAGTCTTCCGCCTTCCTCTTCGTTATTGTTTGTTTTGTTCATTCTGATCGGCGATCTTCACTTCTGAAGCGCCAATTTCTGGGTATTGTTCGTCATCGCGTTTGATGTCGCTTTTAATCATAATTGTTGTGTGCCAGAAGTTTGATCTGTTTGAAGATGTTTTGTTTGCGATTGTTTTAAGCGATTGAATTTTTGGTCATAGGTGTATAGAAGTTGGAAGTTGGAAGATGGAGGAATTTATTGTGGCAGTTCTCTCGATGCTGCTTGTTTTTGCGTTGGTTCCTCTGTTTCTGTGGAGACGCTATCAGGACTCCCGCTCAGATCATGCACATGAAGATGAGGATCAGGTGTGGTTTTTTGGAGGCTCGGTCAGGGTTTATTTATTTGTTTCTTTTGTATTGAAATGCTATTGCTGAGGTTATCAATCTGTTTCGAAGAAAGGTTATCGGGGTTTTTACTTGGTTGTTGGAATTTTTCAGGTTCCTCAGAGAGAAACTGTGGTTCGGGCCACTGCTGGTGGCCGTCGAATGCGTCGGAGACCTGCTACGGCTGCTAGTTCGTCGAATGCAGGGCCATCTCTGGAAGGTTTGCATCAATTAGCCTTCTGTGTCTATTTTCTTTCCCTCTATCCGAGATTTTCTTTGTTTAGTTTTAATTGTATTACTCTGTTATGTAATTCCTTAACACAATTACGAGGGAGTATTTGAGATCCCACGTCGGTTGGAGAGAGGAGCGAAGCATTCTGTATAAGGATGTGGAAACCTATTCCTCGCTGACGACGATACGTAACGGGTCAAAGCGGGCAATATATGCCAGCGGTGGGCTTGGACTATTGCAAATGGTATCAAAGCCAGACATGGGACAGTGTGCAGTGAGGACGCTGGACCCCTAATGGGGTGGATTGTAAGATCCCACATCGGTTGGAGAGGGGAACGAAACATTTCTTATAAGGATGTGGAAACCTCTCCCTAGCAGACACGTTACCGTTAAAAGTATCCAAAATGACCGAAGACTGTGCACAAGGGAAATAGTATACAATCTGGGATAACAAATAGCTATAAAGGGAGATCACTTTACGTAACTGTCTACCCAAACCATATCTGTTTCTCTTATATGGTATTTATTTATTTTCTCACTCACAAACATTTATGGTATGTTTAACATAACATTCTGTAGTTGCTTGGATTTTATATTTAGGTTCTCCGATATAGTGTACACATTCGGTACGAGATAGTCGATCTTTATCAAGTAATGAAGAAAATGTACTAATGAAGGAGAGTTAGAAATTGAGGGTCGTTAACTCTTCAGTTTCGAATATGAAGGTTTTACATGATTATTGTAATAAGTAGCCAATATGGAAGAAGTTGGGAGTGCTTTGGTATAATCACATATGGTCTTTTAAATTAGGAATTCATTACATTGACTGTGGAAACTCTTAACAATTATTCCTGATGATTCTGGAACAGAAAGTGCGGATGGAAGTGATGAAGAAATGGCGGATGAATACAATGAAGGTCGAGTGTCAAAGAAGAAAGAAAAGAAGCGACAGGAGCGCGAGGCACAGAGACAGGTAACGTATGTGAAGTTTTGACATATTTATGGGTACATGACTATAATATTAGGAGAACCAGTTCGAAGTCTATTTTTCTGAAATTGTTGACATTGAAAGTTGAGATTGTTTACGGACTGCATCTTTGTGTGTTGAAAACACGAGTCGTATATATATGATTTCACTATACTTGAAAGAATGCAGATGTCTTTAGGTTCTTATCTTCACTGTGTGGCTCTTATAGTTTTCTTTTCTCATCATCATCATCATATTTTCTTACATTTTGTTCTCTTTTATACTCTATTGGTTAACTGTATATTAGTAAAAATTATTGTTTTGAAGGCCGAACAAGCTTCCCGCGACTCAAGGTGGACAAAACAAGACCGTTATGCAGAAATGCGGAGGAAGAAGGATGAGGAACGTGAGGAGCAGGAACGGTTACTGGTTAGTTAATCAACTACCCTGTCTTTCGAGAACTCTGATGTAGACACGTGTGAGGTAGGCTGGAGCTTCTGTGGTTGAATGGTGATGGTCTCCTTTCTTTGTTTAGGAAGAAGAAGCCAAGGCACGGAAGGTCAAGGAGGAAGAGGCTGCTTCACTTGAGTTTGAGAAGTGGAAAGGGGAATTTTCAGTCGATGCTGAAGGTACGACGGAAGCTGATGTCGAAGGCGGAAATCAAGATTTGCTCTCTACTTTTGTGGAATATATAAAGGTGAGTCTGTCATGTTCTAAGGATTCAGTATTTCACCTTATAGGAATCTTAACGTATTCTTGTTCGTATTTTAGTATAGGTCGGGAATAAGATCGGCCCATGGACTACTAAACCCGACTATTCTTTGTTAAAGCTGTTTAATCTACGCTTTCCTTGTGGCTCTATACCTGAAGCTCTTTTTATGTTCTTTTACAGAATCATAAATGTGTCCCATTGGAAGATCTTGCTGCAGAATTTAAATTAAGAACTCAGGTAACCCAGATAATGGTTGTTGTATGTAATGCATTCAAGGTTTAGTTGCGGTCGTAGTTGTTGTTATTTCTTCAAAAGAAATCGAAAAAATAACTAGTCGAGAAGAATGATTTTCTGTTCTTTGACTGACTTTGAATTAGGTGTTCGTTTTGTCGTCACCGTTTTTATGCAAATATTACACCTCTATTTATGTCGCACTATATTTCGCTAATGCAGGAATGTATTAATCGGATCACCTCCCTCGAGAGCATGGGTACGACTCTTTTCATTTTTCTCTCGTCGAATGCATTTCATCCAGGGTTCGCGTCTGTCATAAGTTCTTGCAAGCTTTTAGCATCGTGAACTTTTAATTATGATATCATGTGTAACATTACCGATGATTCTGATCGAAGAAACGCACGAATTTTACAGGCCGACTCTCTGGTGTTATGGATGATAGAGGCAAATACATATACATATCAAAGGATGAAATGCAAGCAGTTGCTGACTACATCAAGCGTCAAGGAAGGGTTAGCATTTCACATTTAGCTAGTAAGTCCAACCAGTTCATTGATTTGGAACCAAAAACCCAATTGGTTGAGGACATCAATGCTGAGGAGGTAACTGTCCCTTAATATACTTGTTAATTTTGGAGAGAAATGTTACATGAAATAATCATAATCATAATCATAATCAACTAGTATATAATTTCCCAATGATCGTTCACGTTGATTGCGGGTGGCAATTTCCCAATGATCGTTCACGTTGATTGCGGGTGGCTGTCGATATTCTCCCTCTCGAAGCAGGTTCTTGTTATATTATTTTTCATGTCCTGCATTTAAGTTCGAATTCATCTCATTCCTAGAAATAGAAGATGATCCATCTGTTGGACCTTTTGCTTTAGGCAAATCAGTTATGTGGTGATGTATGGAAATAGGAATCATCAGAAACTTCTCTTGATCATCACCATGATTGTCTTTATGCTGCTTAAGATCGGACGAAGTGATTCGAACATGTTTTTAGAAGACAAAATAGTTGTTACGAGTTAAAGATTCGCCATGGTAGTAGGATTCATGAAAATAAATAAATAGATGTTTTAGGTCGGAAGTTAGGACCTTTAGGTGAGGTTAATACGAAAAATCCTTGATGTCCCTCGAGTCTAGGTCTTGGGGTGAGTGCGGGTGCCTCCAGGTATAGGGAAATAGAGCACCGATCCCGGTTACCAAAGGTTAGTTTGGGTGCCTCCGGGTGGGAGATGAGTGTGCACTTCCCCTGCATACTCTGTGCTGCTTGTCACTGAGATAGCGATTATGCGGCATTTGTTGCGAACAAGTCAGCTATAAGAAATTCGGACGTTGTAGACAACGTCGACATATGTTCGGGCTTTGAGTCACGTTTGCGAGAAATGTTTAAGAAAACGTGAGCGATGAAATACATTTGAAGACGATTTGAAAGAATTGAAGAAAGCAACGTTATATGACTCTAAACAAATAAAGAACACCACGGCTTAAATAACATATAACTCAGGTTAAGAAGCGACAATTAGTTATATCCCCTTATAATACATTTTAGGGCATCTTAGCCCTGGCGGGTATAGACATGATTTTGATGAATAGTCATATATCCCATATTGACACAACATAAAATAGTAAAGACTTACCTAAAAGATGAAAGCATGTAAAAAGGATTTGGAACGGGAATGTGGTCATAGACAACACGTCTTGAACAATTATGACTGGGACATCCGACATGTGGCCTTAGACAACAAGCCTTGGACAAGCATGACCGTAACATTGCATGTAACCCTCCAGCCAAGCCCTGAACTTCAAGTTCTTCAGTTTTGTGAGGTTTTTATTAAACTTTGCTGCATCAGAAGGGTTGAGGAAGACCCAGTTTCCATCTTGCTGATATATATATATATATATATATTTACTTTTTGGGGCTTTGAGAACAAATTATTAACTTTACTTTCCATTTGTGATCTCACTCAATGGCCAAATTAGGGTTTGCATTTGGGGCTTTGATTTTTGTGAAGGTGTTCTTGCATAAAGGGATTGGTCTGAAGCTAAACGGTTTCAAATTGGAGACTCTTTTGGTATGTATATTGATATTTGATGGATATTCGAAAGTTTGATACTCGTAGATAAGATATCAATTATCATTCTAAAAGTTGATCGTTTCTTGTTGAGCTAAAGAATGTCCGTCCTTTGTATAAATTTTTTACAAATAGAAGTCAAAGTTAAAAGTTTATTCCTTTTTTTCTTTTCTTTTTTTTTAAAGTACAACAATTGAAGTAAGCAAATTTAAATTTCTAGCCAAGAAAATTATATATCAATTATTGTAGAGTTATGCTTTTATGCAACGTTTCAAGGATGATTAAAGTGAATCTCTATATTTTTGCTTCATGTACTTGAAGTAACATTTGGTATCTATGATTTTTAAAATCTAAGTATTTTAATGATTATGTTCCGATAGTTTAAAAGCGGTAAGATTATACTCTAAAAAATATATATATTTCTTAAATTTGTACATTGACAAATCGCTCCATGACCAAATGCATTTTTTAATTAAATAGACTAAATTTTTATAGATGGATAGTAACGTTAGACTATGTTTGAGTTGGCAAAAAAGAAAAAAAAAAGTACTTACTAGAATGAAAATACTCTTTATATTCTAGATTTACTTGAAAATGAGTCAATATATATAATCATAGTTCAACTGGTTTAGAGATAAGAACTAACGTTAGAGATTTGGATCTCTCAACCCTACATGCACACTGATCTTTTTATCTTTTGATAGCGTGTCCTTTTAAAGTGGAATTTAATGTTTTTTTCTTTCCATTCACTCGGATCACTTCCGTTTCATTGATTTTGTCCGGATCCTCCTTTTCTTCCAAAAAAAAAAGGAAAGGAGAAGTATCTTCTTCGATGGATCCCTCCTGTTTAGTCCTCTCCGTTTCCTCCATTTCTTTCGGTTTCTTAGTAAGAATAGGTGACAGTATCTACATGCACTTCTATAAAATGGTTCCCTCTAAAACGGTGAAAAATAAATCCTAAATTAATATATGATCTAATGGCACAACCGACTATATATGTATTGGGAATGAAATGAATAAGTTTGTGTAATTATAGCATTAAATAACTTATCATTTTGTTACGATAGAAGTGTGTCACATACAGACCTTTCAACTATGGTGCTGCTTCAAATTCCAAGTCTGTGTACGACAATAGAACGAACATTCGATAGACGACCAAAGTTGGAAGGAAATGTTGGCATGGAGTTCGTTTCGATTCCATTTGAGTGATTCACTAAACACATTAGCTATAGGTGCTCCTACCCAACAAGATGACTACACTACACTAACTGCAGAATCCAATCCCCAATTGAACAGCCAGCATTCTGATGGCCATACACTGTTGTCCAATTTGGTAAATCATAGGTGGAAACAAAGACAATTGCCTACGAAATGAGAAGCTGGTGGTGGTTTTGTTCGCTAATAGAAGCAAAATTCTAGTTCTAATCAGACCACTCCTTCGCCTCCAACCTCTGCTCCATCTCCCACCTTCTCCTCCACCTGCAAATGATCAAACTGGTACTCCTCCTTCACCGTCGGGGTCAATGGAAACCAACCAATCGTCACCACCTGCAGCGGAGGTCAATCCATCTCCACCGCCTACTAGGGAAGAGTCTCCGTCTCCACCTGCAGGGGCGGTTGAGATTAACCCTGCACCTCCTATATCAAGACAACCTACCAGTGTCCGCACTTGGCTACCCAGCATTTACTGTGGGCACAATAACTGGTACACCAGAGGTGTGTCCTTCCCGGTCCTCTCGTACTATGGAAAGGTCCTCTCAATGCTCTAACATCCACACCAGATATGGACCGAATTATCTCACGACGTTCTGAACCTAGCTTATGTACCGCTTTAATGGGCGAACAACCCTACCCTTGGAAAATACTACAGCCCCAGGTGGCGAAGAGCTGACATCGAGGTGCCAAACCTTTCCGTCGATGTGAGCTCTTGGGGAACCTACCGGTGTCAGATTTTCAACCATCCCAAGCAGTATTGCCACCACAGGAATGTTAGTTGCTGGTGTTATCTTAGCTTTCTAAGTAAAGAGAAGGTCCTATAAAGATAAGTTTTCTCACTTTCTGGGTCTAAAGAAGAGACCCCATTGGCAATTTGGAAGATCGCCGTTCAGATTTATTAGAAAATGTGAACGCACATAATTGAATTTATTCTGGAATTCAAATCCTACAAAATCGTTTACCAAGCAGGAAAGCTTTCAACAGAACACTGCTTCTTTGCATGTCTAAAAAAGCAATGTATGTATGTATGTATATATATATATATATATCTAAAGTTTCACCAGTATGCAAAGAAGTGGCGTGTAGTGAAAATTCCTGGTAAAGCTATTGACTATCAAAAATTCTTGCCTAGTTCAACTTTCTTCATGAGTCTCATAGTATTGTGCAGAAGTGCATCCAATATTCCAGCGACCTGTAACATAAAGGAACACCTATCAGACCGAGCTGTTCATCAACAAGAGTCGAGAAATGAAACAGATAGATGTAATACTGACCGTAAAAACACCTCCAATTATGGCACAAACATTTGTGATGAAATGTGAAAAAGACTTTTGGTTTTCCGTGATCACAACCTTTTGATACAAAGAAAAAGAATGATGGATTAATGGGAATTTAAGAGCACAGGAAAAAACACTATGCAGTGTTTGGACTATAAATCAAAAGACGAAAATGTATCAAAATGTACAAAACCTGCATGGGAGAGAGCGTATAATGGAACTTTGCAACAGGTATGTGAACACTCTGGGACACGCTGCTGTGAGCTGTGTATTCATACTCTTCAAGTAACTTACCAGATCTCCTTGTCAGCACCTCTGTTTTAACTATTTGAAGATAATGCTCTATCTGCGAGGGCAAATGCATAGACAAAACAGTATATTTAGTGCAGATTTAGCAATATTCATAGCATTCCAAGAACTTGACATTGAAAATTTTATCATATTGTGAATATTTGTGTTCAAAGTGCACTCAAAAGAAGGGCTTTTAAATATATATACACACACACATAAATATATACATGTATATTTATAAGAAATAGATATGTATTAGTAGGAATAAGGGAGAAACAGCTCAGGAGCAGGGGGGAAGAGAGAACCCTCTCTCAGCAGGATCTAATTACAAAATAAAGTTTCCAAATGTTGAAAATCAACGCAGTTGGTAATTACAAAAGAATTTTTGTTTTGCTACAAGGACACCAAGAGGCAACAAGCTGAAAATTCACACAAAAAGAAATGAAATCAGTAAACTTATCTTCAAAAACTCTTTTGTTCCTTTCAAGCTGAAAATTTATGTATGATAAGAAATGTAATAGAGTAAAGTTGTTTGTTTTTAATATTTCAAACGTATTTATGATCAAATTACATGTGCCTTCTGAATTATTAGCATTTACTTCAAAGAATTTTAGCATCGATATAAAGGAAAGATAACAAAATGGAGGAGTACAGAACGGGGAATAACAAGAGACTATCAGCATAGAGAGACTAGAAAGCAATTGTGCTTAAGAAGCAACTGGTTAAAAGCCAATCACTGATCTCTCTTCAAAACGATGCAAAATAATTTACATGGAGAAATTCAATTGTATAAAAAGCACACAATGTTATGGTCCATAATTATGAACACAGTAATTGCTGACTTGGCAAGAAAATGCTCATGATATGCAAGTTAATATCATTGACATAACAGACATACACATGACGAACA